TATAAAGATTGGAAATCGCATTTCGAAAAAACTCAAAAAATTGACCCAGAATCGGTTCAGCAAACTACAAACAAAATCAAACAACCCGAAAACATAATAGGTATTTTAATTTCATTAAGGTTTATTTTCAATTAAATTTTGCTATTTGCTTCCTTTTTAATATAAATTAACTTAAAAAAAATCTTGTACCTAGTTTATCAGTTATGCGGCTCAAGTCAGAGTACAATTATCAGATACAAACAAAACATTTCATTTTAAAAAACAAATTTAAGAGAAACATCTTATAAAGATGTTTACAATAAATAAATCAGTATAATGACTTATAGAATATTTTAGACAGTGATTTTTGCGTATGATTTTATATGTTAGCGTTTAGCGTAAAACCAAGTTAATTAAAAAAAAGACTACCTTAAAATAAAAATATTTTAGTCATAACATTTGTGTCATGGTTTGATCACTCCATTCCCACTATATTTTTTTTTATAATTTTTCTAAGTAAGGTGTATATATTAATTTTGTTAAATGTACATGTTAACTAAACTTCATTTGATCCGATACTCTGGTTTAAATGTTTTACTACCCGAAAGCTTTAATTTTTTTGTTCCTAACATAAATAAAGTGAATAACACAAATATTTTAATTAAAAATGAATAAATTTAAATTCATACTTCATTTAGTAGATTATCTAAAATAATAGGTGCATGTGTTTTATGTAATAGTGTTTAATATGTACTTCAATTTTTTAGTTAAAACTGAAGATATCAATTTTGATGAGTGTCAAAGCCAAGAAGATGTTAGTCAAGAACCTGTGAACCCGACTTGCAGCAAAGAGTCCAATAATACTTGTGACAATTCTAATATTCAAGATAACTCCGAGATTGTAAAACGGCCAGAAAACTGTAATTCTAGTGTAGCCCAATCTGTGTACAACGAATCAAACAAACAAACCGAACAAGACGTTGAAAATCTTAGAAAAAGGAAAACACCTTCGGAAGAAATTAAAAATTCCGATAATCTAGAAGATTTGAAAACTAAAATACCTAAAACCGGAATATTTATAAAGACCGAGAAAGAAGAAATGATTGAATCCAACGACCAAGAAACAGAACAGCTATGTAATGGGAGCAATGAAGGGGTGAAAACTAAAAAACCTAAAACCGGAATATTTATAATGACTGAATCCAACGACCCAGAAATAGAACAGCTATGTAATGGGAGCAATGAAGGGGTAAAAACTAAAAAACCTAAAACCGGAATATTTATAAAGACTGAATCCAACGACGTTGAAAATCTTAGAAAAAGGAAAACACCTTCGGAAGAAATTAAAAATTCCGATAATCTAGAAGATTTGAAAACTAAAATACCTAAAACAGAAATATTTATAAAGACCGAGAAAGAAGAAATGATTGAATCCAACGACCAAGAAACAGAACAGCTATGTAATGGGAGCAATGAAGGGGTGAAAACTAAAAAACCTAAAACCGGAATATTTATAATGACTGAATCCAACGACCCAGAAATAGAACAGCTATGTAATGGGAGCAATAAAGGGGTGAAAACTAAAAAACCTAAAACCGGAATATTTATAAAGAGTGAATCCAACGACCAAGAAATAGAACATTCATGTAATGGGAGCAACAAAAAAATTAATATTTTGTCATATTGGAGCGAAGGTTTGAGTCCATCAAATGATAATCGAATGACAGCGATTGATAACAAATCGTCCAACAGTTTGAGTTGTAACAACGCTATAGCTACATCTGAGACACTAAACACTACTACGACTGAATCCAACGACCAAGAAATAGAACAGCTATGTAATGGGAGCAATGAAGGGGTGAAAACTAAAAAACCTAAAACCGGAATATTTATAAAGACTGAATCCAACGACGTTGAAAATCTTAGAAAAAGGAAAACACCTTCGGAAGAAATTAAAAATTCCGATAATCTAGAAGATTTGAAAACTAAAATACCTAAAACCGGAATATTTATAAAGACCGAGAAAGAAGAAATGATTGAATCCAACGACCAAGAATCAGAACAGCTATGTAATGGGAGCAATGAAGGGGTGAAAACTAAAAAACCTAAAACCGGAATATTTATAATGACTGAATCCAACGACCCAGAAATAGAACAGCTATGTAATGGGATTAATGAAGGGGTGAAAACTAAAAAACCTAAAACCGGAATATTTATAAAGACTGAATCCAACGACCAAGAAATAGAACAGCTATGTAATGGGAGCAATGAAGGGGTGAAAACTAAAAAACCTAAAACCGGCATATTTATAAAGACCGAGAAAGAAGAAATGACTGAATCCAACGACCAAGAAACAGAACATTCATGTAATGGGAGCAACAAAAAAATTAATATTTTGTCATATTGGAGCGAAGGTTTGAGTCCATCAAATGATAATCGAATGACAGCGATTGATAACAAATCGTCCAACAGTTTGAGTTGTAACAACGCTATAGCTACATCTGAGACACTAAACACTACTACGACTGAATCCAACGACCAAGAAATAGAACAGCTATGTAATGGGAGCAATGAAGGGGTGAAAACTAAAAAACCTAAAACCGGCATATTTATAAAGACCGAGAAAGAAGAAATGACTGAATCCAACGACCAAGAAACAGAACATTCATGTAATGGGAGCAACAAAAAAATTAATATTTTGTCATATTGGAGCGAAGGTTTGAGTCCATCAAATGATAATCGAATGACAGCGATTGATAACAAATCGTCCAACAGTTTGAGTTGTAACAACGCTATAGCTACATCTGAGACACTAAACACTACTACGACTGAATCCAACGACCAAGAAATAGAACAGCTATGTAATGGGAGCAATGAAGGGGTGAAAACTAAAAAACCTAAAACCGGAATATTTATAAAGACCGAGAAAGAAGAAATGACTGAATCCAACGACCAAGAAACAGAACAGTCATGTAATGGGAGCAACAAAAAAATTAAAATTTTGTCATATTGGAGCGAAGGTTTGAGTCCATCAAATGATAATCGAATGACAGCGATTGATAACAAATCGTCCAACAGTTTGAGTTGTAACAACGCTATAGCTACATCTGAGACACTAAACACTACTATCATAGTCGAAGATAAATGTCCCAAAGTTAACGTACCTAAAAATGCACAGAGTTTTGTAAATCAGCCAAAGTCAGTTAATATCACTAATACCAAAAAGTTAATCCCTAAAAAGTTACAAGCCGCTAAAGATATTAACCAGTCAAAGATGAACGTCGACATTGAAATTATAGTAATCGATGACAATCCCAGTAGCCCCGAAAAATATACAAACAAAACTATCAAAAATGGAACAAACAAAACAACAACAACCACAAGAAATGACAATGTTTCTTTGATTAAAAATAAAATCAACCAAGTTGAAATTGTCATCAGCGACGACGACGAGGATGATGTTCAAATTTTGTCCTATAGGAAAAGCCCTAAAGTTATACCGGCAAGTCGTTATAAAAATCCGCCTAATACCCAAAGTGCTTCGAACAACAATAACAAACAATTAGTTCCTACTAATCGCAACACTCAACAAGCTCAACTATTGGAGTCAAATAGTGCGGTGAGACTTTCCAGTGCTGTTTCTAATACACCGATAAACATTAATAAAATTCCAGAAAACAATTTGAGTCCTGCGGCCATGAAACAACAACAGCCAACGATCGCAGCTCATTATAATGTGATAAAAATAGAACCTACGGTTTTTGATTTGAACATTAGTCTTTCAAAACCCGCTTCGACCCACGTCAACGTAAAATGCAAAGTTGTCTCCAGACCGAGCGTTGACGGCGAAATCCAATTTTCCGTACGTTTTCCAAACGGTCATCTTCACCCAATGTCCAACGATTTAATAAATCAGTACCTAAAAGAGCACAACAATACATTACCCCATTATTGGATGATACCATTGTCAAAGGAAGTTGCTAAGAAATACGGCTGTTAATTTTTCATCTAGTCATATTATAAGTCATAAGACTATACTATTGTAAATAAGTTGAAGTTTTAGCCAAAATACGTTTTATCTAAATAGGACGTTATGCACTCAATTTCCTAGCGTGTTTAAACATACCTACGCGCGGAATGCGTATTGCTCGCTCGGTGATGATTTTGGAGCAAAAATACTTAAAAAGAAAATGAAAGATGACAAGATTTTGGAGACTGTGTCATATCCATTTTTTTTGATGAACCTAATAATTAACTTTTAAAATATTTTTCTTTTACTTTTTTAAAATAACCAACTCTTTTTACATTATTCATTTTTTTTAAATCAGATAGGATATTGCCTTCGAAATGTTGTCTTTCGATTTTATAAAAGGTGTTTTTGCTCATTCTGCGTAGCTATGTTTGGACAGAATTTTTTTATATTTTTTATATATTCATATAATTAATTTGATTATTTTTATGTTTTAAAATGAACATAAAATTCAGCGCTCGGGAAGTTCTTTTAACAAAGTATCTTTTTACGTTCCCAATAAATTTTGTTCTTTACATTTTAAGATAATTTTAGTGGTATATGGTTGATCTATAAAAAAAAATAACTTTAAGGAAATTTTTTTTTTTTTAATTGAAAAAAAAATGAAGTTCACGGCCAATAAAATTTAATGATGCCAGTTTTGTTCCTTCACACTAATACTCCGATACATTCCAAAAATTAACAAAGGCAATTAAATAAGTTCTCATGAACGTGTTACTTCCAAACACTGTACCTATTTTAAATTTACTTGCTAGACATAAAATAACATTATATAATTTTTTTTAGCATGTTTCAATTTTCATTCACACCTTAAATAATATATTACACTTGTGCCTATGTTTAATGTATATTTACTAAGTGTAAAACATTTAGGTATAATTTTTGATGTGTATTTTTTAATGACTACTAAATTTAAGTTTGTTACTACTAGCGTTATTGGAAAATGTAATAAAAGCAAATGTTATGTAATGTAGGTAATAGCATGTCTTACCTTCTTCTCTAGTCGATTTTCGATAACTTGATTGTTCTAATAAGGTATTCCTCATTGATTTATTATAATAAATGTATGTAGAGTTTTATAGTTGTTTAACAAACTACTACTGTGTAATCTTTTATTATTAAGTTAACTATTTACTTGTCATTACAAAAAAAAAAGTTGTGTGTACTTAGTGTGCAAAGATGTATCCTAATTAAAATGTAGTGTCGTTTGCTGGACAAATATAAGAACCCCATAAAATAATAAACTTAAATATTTATTGTAATACATATATCTTACAAAGTTTTAACAATGTATTGAATTGTGATTTATTTGTTTAAAATAAAATTTTAGAATATGTACATTTTGGTTTTGTTTGTCAGCCTTTTTTTTTAATCAAAAATGTAAGATTTAAGTGCATGTGTTTTTTAACACATTTAAAAAAAAAATGTTTTATAAGAACGGTTAAATTTAACTAACGAGAAGGAACGTATAATAATTGATAACTATTTATGACTTCAACAAATACACTAGTATCATTTGGCCAACATATACCAAGTCAATGACCAAGAATTCTTTTCAAACATTTCTTTAAATTAATTTAAACTGTTATAAAAAAATGAATGTCCATACATCTGTAATGACTTTTATAGCAGACTACAGTTCAGTACGTTCGGTTCTCTATTAATGCGACTACCACATTCGTCTACTATCCTAATTTCGTAGGTAATACCTAAGTATTCTAATTTTTACAACTAATAATAATCAAAACATACAAGTGAATTATAAACTACTGATGTGCTACTGTACAGTAAGCCATGCGGGTATGGTAAGGTCTTAGTTTCTTAACACTGCTACATTTTTTTTTTATTATCTAATTAATTAAAGCACTAATAAACAGTGTTCAGGCAAGGGAAATGTTTATAAATATTAATTAATAAACTTGGAATTTTGAATTTTCACTTCAATATCAATTGGGGCTTGCAAATTTTACAGCGATTAATTTTAATAGATAAAATAGACAAGCTTCTACTGAACAAGTAATTAATATAACCCAAATGGGTTTTTATAAATAATAATACATATTAGAGTGTGATAAAGAAAAACACCGTAAATTGTGTTAGAAAACTTTGGCTTTAGTTCAAAGGCACTTCTTAATAAACTGAAAATGTAAAAGGTATAGACATTATTAAAAAAACGATATTTTGATTTTCCAGAGGCATAACAACGTGTTAACTAAACGGTAGTCGCAATAATAGAACATTGTTGATAATTATTAATAATATAATCACAGCACACTGACACTTCTATTGTAAAATTCAATTAAATATGGATTTTTAAAATTGTATACACACACAAACGTTGTGGAATAATTATACTTAATAGCAATTAGAAAACCTCTTTATCACCACTTGACACTTGTAGCTAAAGAAAAATATGCTACTTTGTTTTATGATAAAGTAGTCACCCAACTCGGATGTTAATAAGAGGTAGATAGGTATTTTTATGCAGTCTTTGGTTTCAGCCCAAAATAATTATTAGTGCTTGGACGAAACACAATTTTGGAATCATTGAAAATACTAACAACCATATTGTATCAGATTATTGTTTCAAATAATTTTCCAATAGTATTATGATTAGGCATGTTCGTGTAATTATTGTTTTCGTTTTTATTTTTGAACAACTCAAGTGAATCGGTCAAATTTTCAAAAGTTTATGCAAAGTATAACCAATCAAATGCATTACTGGGTAAGTACACTTATATTACATACCTATAGGTTTTACATAAATTATTTAGGCAAATAAAATCGCGGGTCTTTGTTATCAAATTTTCAGTGTGGCAAATACCTACAATAATTATTATATTATTTTTGTTCGAATGTTAAAAATCGAACATAGGACGATTATTTTTTTTATGTATTACTAGTCATTTTTATGGTATTCTTACATTTTGCCTTTTGGCGGTAGATTAGATGTCTGTTATTGTTATAAATTATTAAAAACAAACCGTGACTAGTTTTACACAAAATATTGATTTGATGACGTGTCATGTTTTTCATGCCAGCCGTGTAGTATAAGTAGTAGCCTACTTATACTTAAGATATTATTATTAGAAGATATTTTGCTTGATCATTTGGTGTTTTAAACGTTCATTTGCTATGAAAATTCGTTTGATTTTTGCGAAAAAATCGTGTCGATTTGTTTAATTATGCACTTTTTAACTTTGCCGTATTTGGTAGCATGTAATATGTAGTGTTTGAATTTTTATCTTTATTTCAGTATATTTTATTGGTTTTACAATATTATTGTATGGCTTGCAGCAACAACCAGATATAAGTTTATTTTTCTCGGAAAAAATATGTTTAACGAAAAATTGATCTACATTTTTCTGGTGTAACAAACCGTAAAATCGTTCTATTACTTAATAAGATGTTACAAAATGCATTTTCTCCCGCTAATTTTAATAAAATATAATATACCATCATGTCATCATCATCACAAATAAATCCATTTTTAAACGATTTGTTCTAAACCAATTTTAAAAAACGGCATTTAAAATATATATTTCAGTAGAAATAATAATTTTTTTGGATTTTTAGACATTTTCTGAACTATTACAACAATATTTTCAGATCATATTACAATAATTTTTTACCAAAAAGTTTTTGTAAAATATTTTTTAAACGTTAAAAAGACTCTATTGACCTCAAGAAAACATTTTATTTTTTCTGCCAACCCGCACCTTATTCGTGAAAACACGTTTATAAAAAAAAGTAAAAAATAAAAAAAATATCTTGGCTCATAAATCAAACTCGTTCCAAAACGAATAAGAAAAACTTAAAATATATTATCATGCCTATTGTTTATCTATTTATTTTATTTTTCCCGAAGTCGAGAAACGAGTAATAATAATATGTTATTTGATACAGAAAGGAAAGTAATAGGTTTTCAGATTTTCTTTAGGGTTGACAATTTCAAATATCCATACTCGTTATGGCTTTTTAGCTAAGGCTTGGCTCAAGGGCGCCCGCGGGGGGGGGGAGGCCAAAGGGGCCATTGTCCCTACTGGGAATTTTTTTAAAACTATTGTTAATTTAATGCCACGCATTTTAATTATAACATAATTTTATTGAGATCCATTTATGAAGTAGTATTTATGGAGATCCATTTAGTAACAACTATTATATTTTTAGATAATCTAAAATATAATCTTGAACGTATTTATTAGTTTACAATGTTTACACATGAATTTTGATCTTGTCCCGGCTGGCATTTTGTCCTGCGGGCGCGCTTGGCTTGGCTAAGGTTTTTGTACGATCAATAATTGTCGCTTGAAATGCCGGCCTTTGTCTGTTTCCATGGCTACAGTAGACTGTAAAGGAGGTCAAAGGCTTTGCCGGCAGAGAGGTATAGTGCGGGGTAAATCCATATCCGCATTGCGGCAAACCGAGGCGACCAGATTTCCAAGTATTCACTTACAGTAGCAGGTCCTTTTTCTTACAACAAACCATACAAATTTTAGATTTCGTAGATTAAACCACAGAATAGACAAAAGCAGAAGGGTCACTTTCGACGTAAACAAAAAGTGACGGCCATTTTGTAATACAGATAAATCTATACACGACTAATAATAATAATGTAAAATGTATAAGTCTTGAGCTCGGATGTTAATGGCCTTTAATGTATTAAAATATGCATTTTGAAATGTCAAAATGTTGACAATTATATGCTTTCAATGAAACCGGCTAAAAATTGTATAATTACATAATTTAAATAACATTTCACACAGGTTAATTAATTTACAATAAACATTTTAGTATTTTTTTTTTTCAAGCTTAGAACATCAATGAGAATTATTTTAGACATTTTTAACAATATTTTTTAGCCAGAATTTTCGTTTAACACATTTTTGTCATATTTTGTACAATTTTCTTTAGCTCATACTCGTACACATAACAAATTATTATAATAAAATGAAACATACATAGCATAACATTATACTTACTAGTGTGCTACAAAATCTTGAAATAAACATTATTGGCAAATATAATATGCTCAATGTGAAATATGCAAATATATGCAATATGAGTTTGCTGATTTAAAATCTAGTCTTTGTGAGTTGAATTTATATCGTATTTGGGTATAAATCTGATTTCATTAAACAATTATACAGTCATCAACATCCAAGTTAAGAAAATGGCCGCCGCGTTTTTCTGTGATAAATTATCTTCCCAGTGTTAAATGTTATCAGTTTTCGGGACCTGTTTAATCGTTCACACACTATACTTAAGTACGGGTTATTACTGATACTTAAGTTATTCAGTTACTCGTAATCATCATTTTCTTTACATTTTTTTTCTCAGTAAAAAAATTGAACAATTTCTGACTAATAATGTTGAAAATCATAAAAATCGCGTGAAATGATACTATATTACCTTATTCGACAACTCCAATTACTGTAGCACATTGACATAATTAAATGTCTATGGTGTACCATGTCAGAATATTTTTATTAATTCCCAAATTTTCTATTTTTATTCAGAATCAAGCGGAGAACGGTACCACATATAAATTAAGACTTCGCCTAAATAACAATCGCCCTAATGTATGTATTTTATATATCACACATAGGTCATTGATAACTAATTTCAAAAAAAGAAATGTGGATGTAGCATTATATAAATTTAAAAAAGTAACGTCCCGTTCTGCAATATCGATAACAATAAAGGAAATACTTGATTTTAGTATTTATTTTTATTTTTTAGAAATACATAAGAATTATTATTGAACACAAAGTAACCTTGAAAAACTGCTTTGGATGATATTAGAAATTACTGTCTCGTTAAATCCTATTTGATGACTTTTCAAAGTTATTTAATTTTATTGTATTAAATATTTATGAACATAATCACATATACCCTTTTTTGACGATCAAATTTAACAATAAAACAATGGTTGATTAAAATTCAAGTAAGAAATATTGACCTTATTAAACCTTGTTTTTATTATTAGTCATACAATATTATAAATTTTGAATGCATTCGAACATATTTATTTAGTAAAGTAGACCGTTTTTAAAAATACGATCATTATAGCCTAATCACATCACAGTATAAATTAAAAC